ATAAAAAGAAGAAAACTTACTTCTATTCATTCAAATTCCAATCACCAAATTTCGTCTCTAAATTTTTTTGTTTCACTTTTTACAGTCTGAAAAATACATTCCTCCCACATGCAAAACTGCTCTTGATGACATTTGGGCATATTAAAGTATCCTACGAGCAATAACTGTCGTATGCTTTATGAAAAATTGGAAAGCAATGGCAGCCATCTGCTCGTAGAATAAGTAAACTACCCAGCGTTCCTGAGCCAGCTTCCAAGTGTTCCATTTTCCTATCTGCATTTTTGAATGTTTTCACATCTGTCAACACTTATTTTTTGTCTGTTACAATCCCTAAATAAGTTTTCTTTCTTTTAAAAAGGTGTATGACTAACAAATCCAAATGATATCCCTCTGAATCAAACACAATTATTTTCCTCCCGTGAAATACACAACTTTAAAAAATGGCTGCTGCTTACATTTAACAAAGCCAGGTCTAATATAAATTCGCAGTAAGTAACAGAAATTTGGATGGATGGTTGGTTTTTTTCTCCTACAAGAACTGTTTATTTTTATTATTAAAACAAGCGAACATTCATATCTTTTTAATAACGTTGATTGCCGAACTTATTTTCAGCTCAAGACTTCTTGTATTTAATGAGAAATTTCGCCTAAATGGGGCTCTCAATGGGGAAAACAGATTTTAATATTAACGTTAATATTATGGAAATTTCATTTAAACTTGTTTTTAAGCATAAAATAAAAAGAAAATTTGTTTGTTTGTTGTGTAAGATGTAATTTTATTTCATCTCGTTAACTTTAAAAACAGTATTCTCACGAGTGGCGTAGCCACAAGTGAGAATACTGTTTTTAAAGCCCACTCGATGAAATAAAATTTCATCTTACACACAAAAAAACAAATATCTTCTATATTATTTTATGCGTGACGAAAATACTTTTCTTCGCGTACTTTATTTGTATGAATAATGTATTACAAAGATTTGGTACATGCGTTACATCATATTAAGTATTCATGCTTATTTACGTAAGTGTTTGCAAAGTTATTGCACATCTTATTCACAAATAAAACTCTGGAGAAGTGTTTACTTTTATGATAATTTTTGGGAGAAAAAACTTATATTTCATGAAAACAATTTCATGCAAAAACCAAAACTTTTCCATAATCCTGTTTCTTAGGAAAAAACGAAAAAATACATAAACTGAAAACAACATAAGGCAGACTTGCACCACAGAACATGAACACCGTATACATTGCAATAAATTATTGGATATTACGAACCTTGGTTTTCCTTTCATCTCAGTGGCTAATGATGTCTTCAAAACATTAATTGTGTGTGTGTGCACCTGTGAAAGATTTAGAAATCGTCTGTCTATATTTTACTGAGGTCTGCACCAAATGGATAACGATTTGCAATCTGAAGAAAATGAAAGTCTATATTTTTTTAATGTTTCAGTAATGAATATCGATGTGCATATCACGAGAAGAAATCAAAGTTAAATGTGAAATAGTTTGTCATAAAATTGGCAAACGTAAACAAAGTGGCATGTGGCTAGTTGAGCAATCGTACAAAAAATAATCACTTCAACTTATCCAACGACCAAAAAAGCAAAACATGGTTCAATATATCGCAAATGAGTACCGTTTAGGAAACCGTAACAGACCACTGTATATAATAACAGTATTTTATTGAGCTACATGCATATATTGGCTTTTAATGAAAATATGGACAAACGAGATACAATGTATTGATCATTGTCTTAGTTGTTTAAATCATACATCGTTTCAAGCATGCTTGTGAAAGGTGTTTGTTCATTTCCCGGACTTTTATAAATCTTTATCATAAATAACGTGGTTAACGTTATCGGTATAATGCGATATGCAAGTTTATTTAGATAGCACCTGGTTATTTCCTAGAAAATAATTTTTATCAAGTCCATCATCCAGAACACCTCGCCATTTCATTATAATCTCTGAAATTATAGGGATTGAAAATAGTTCTACCATGTGAACTATGGTGTAAACAAAAACATACGGTGTAATCTTTCTGATAAGTAATTAATGTATTTTTGATATCTGTTTGAAAATAGTACTTTTCAGTAATTTTATGATCGTAAAATATGTCTGATCTTCAGAATCAATTATAAAATACACATTGACATACATAACCAAATCGGAAATATTGTCAAGAAGTTTTCTAAGTTTCTAAAACCAATGATCAGCAACAAAATAATGCACGCTTTACTTTTATTCCTATAAATTTACTAAATTTAGTTCGACTTTTTTCACGAATATGAAAGAAATAAATCCCAATATTTACTTTTATGTGTTTGCATGTTCAGAACAGAACAATTCTGTACTGTTAAAAAGAAAAACAAACAAACTTTCCCGCTTAACATTCCTGATCCGCATTAGCACCATGCTTGGAATTCGGGGTTTTGACATCAAAAGTGTGCAAAAATGTGCTCATTTTCCTGTTATAAACCTTTAAAACTGCCAGCAAAAAACTTCAGATTAAATAATGTTGTTTTTACAAGATTTGACATGCGTTAGACAGAATCATCTCCATCGTAAACTGTTAGTTCATGTTTTCTGTCAGCGGTGAAAGATAATCTTTTATTCAGATATTATCAATAAATAATTAAAGAGAAACCTCCTAGCAACTTCAGAAAATCGCTTCATAGAATAAACACATTCTGTGCCAAACTATTCATTTGTGGGCAAGATAAGAAAATCAAAGGATGATGTCTTATATGAAATTTGAACTTATGTAAACAGATCTATAACGTTATATTTAGCAGATAGAAAAACAAACAGGGCCCGATCCTACTTGTAGCAGATCTCATTATGAAACACAAATATCTTTACGATAGTATATCTTATCATCAAACATTTTTTATGCATTTTCCTTTAATTCTTTTCGTTGCTTCTTGTTTCTAAATGTATAACTATAATGAATGTTCCGTGAACAAGTAACTTTCATTATTTAAATAAAAACTTTGACACCATCCGGAAAATGTACGTTCCGAATCATTTAGCATTACTAAATGTCTTTTATATCATGATAACTTTTCTATAAACCAATTTGTGTCGTTTATCTCTTCTAAATCTTGATTAACGGAAAATGTCTTTGGGAACAAAGCTTTTAAGAAGGAAAACTGCCGGCAGATCGTACACGCTTGCAGTCTTTTATTCAAATAATTAAGAAAGTTTTAACAAATTATCCAGATAATTAAAAGAAGTGCGTTTTTACCAATGAAAATAACCTCTTAAACAAAGTATGCAATGTCTCCGGCGAATTTCAGAAATGTGCCATTTCCGCGACATTAGTAATTTAATAAATACTTTCTGATATTTTTGGAACTTTCCTAACGGTGTGTGAGCGTGCACGTTCCTGTTGATAATAATGCTACCACATTAAATTGAATATTTTTGTCTAGTTTGTTTTTTTTTCCACTAAAATATGCAACATTATCTCATGTCACCCTAACATGTCGTGCGCCTCCAATATTACGATCACTATTAGATATCTCAGTTTACATTTCAAGTGAAAAATGTCATGATGAAAAGCATCTATCTTGATCAAGTACGTGCTATCTTGTTAATGTCAGACACAGAAGTAAAATGATTTATCTAGTAGACTGTATCTTAACAAATCTACAGCATCAGTTATATTTCAGGAAATGTGATAAAATATCATTTCTATGATACTGTAACCCCCCTTTTTTAACCACCGACTCAAGTAAATGATGACGAATTATCGGAGGCAACACAGAGCTGGCCGAATTGTTCAAGCGCAAATCTCTAAATTTTGGGGTCGTAAGTTTGAGTCTAACTTGGGTCATGCCCATGTTCCATTTAATTAGTTCGATTTTAAGACAAAAGGGCCCAGAATCGCTCATGTTTTATGCAAAATATCTAAGCTCTAGCTCTTTTGAATTTTCACAAGAAGAGTTTTAAGTTTTAACTATATACATGTATATATAAGGATAATCAATGACCCCCTGGGGCAGAGCCAATTTAACCCTGGGGCTGTTATTTGAACAAATTTGGTCGACACTCATTAGAAGATGTTTCATCTCTATGGGTTATTTAAAAGAAGATTTTTGAAGTTTTTTACTATATACATAAAGGGAAAAACAATGACCCATAGGGCGGGGCCAATTTTTACCCCATGGCTTTTATTTGAACAAACTTGGTAGACACCAAATAGAAGATTTTTCATGCTTAATATCTAAGCTCTAGCTATTTTGTTTTTTTTAAAGATTTTTTTAAGTTTTTACTATATACAAATAAGGAAAATCAATGACCCCCTGCCAATTTTGACCCCAGGGTTTTTATTTGAATAAACTTGGTAGACAATCACTAGAAGATGTTTCATGCTTAATATCTAAGCTCTAGCTATTTGGGTTTTTTAAAGGAAGATTTGTTAAGTTTTTACTATATACAAATAAGGAAAATCAATGACCCCTTGTGGTGGGGCCAATTTTGACCCCAGGGCATTTATTTGAACAAACTTGGTAGACACCGACTATATGATGTTTCATGCCACATATTTAAGCTCTAGCTCTTTCAGTTTTTTAAAAGAAGATATGTTAAGTTTTTTCTTTCAGTTGCCATGGCAACCACAGTTCTGCTTGGAATAAAATTCTTTGAACAATTTTTAAAGTTGTCACTTTGTGACAGGTGAGCTAAAAAGTAGAAATATTCTAAAAAAAGTAATAATTTACATGCTATGTGCGATTAATGACCAACTTCAGTATTCATCACCATTTTTCTACTGTGACTAGGGCTTTTTGCATATTCTGTCTTCATTTTGGTAATTTACATGGAAATGTGTAAAATTACTTTCTTTGATCATTTCACAATATCGAATACGTTACTTTTAAGATACATTTTCATCAAAAATAATATGGATCTGGAGGCATGCTACAATCAACATAATGACAAAATACTTGTTAGACACAAATGATCGAAGTAAAGAAAAACACAACAAAAGCTTATAAATACCCTTAAGGTAAATTTAATTGAAAATATTATAATAAGCAAGATAATGTATATGACATGAATTTCATAAATGAAAGCACATTAAAAGTAAAATATTTTCATTATGTCAATAACTTTTCTTTACAACCCCCTGTAGAATTCTTCCAATCTTGCTTAAATACTGTCTACAAAATGGTCTTTTAACATTTTAACAGGTAAAAATTTACCTGTACAAGCTTTAGACACAGATTTGAACCTCTTTTTTCTTCCAGAAATGTTTTTCATACAAAATTCAAAACAATATTTATAAAAGGCCAATTAAATCAGTTTCTAGACCTGAAATGAAATTCTGTGTATTTTTTTTAAATGAATAATCCTTTTTGAAATCAGACAATAAACATGTTTTGTAATGTGTAATTAAATTAGTGAAATCAACATGACATCAACACATATGTTCTAATGTCATGTGTTATCTCATTTAAACACAACAGTATGTAACATAGCCCCTAGACACTGTGTAATATTCTCTGTCATCAACACATCTACGTGTTCCTCCAGGTGGCGCTTTGGGTCCTGAAATATATGACAAATAGAAATCATTAGTTTACAATATTATACCAAAATCAAGTGAAATATTAAAATGACATTATGATTACAATATTATACCAAATCAATAGTAATATCAAAATGACATATTGCCTGTCAACATGTAAAGTTATAATCTTTTTTTTCTCTTAAATTTAGAACTTGTACATCTTTATCAAATGTTTTTATCCTAAACTAAGTAAGTAATAGAAAGAGCACCGAAACACGAGGCTATCTAATTTGTACGAGGGGGCGTAGCCCCCAAGTATAAATCAGATTGCCGAGTGTTTTGGTGATCTTTCTCTTTTGTATCATAGTCAAACATGACAGCACATTCCTTGTTGTCATAATATGAAACCCCAGAAAAAAATAACCAATGAACGAGCATTTGAATTTGATATTTCTGCCCCTTTCCCTTTCTCTGCCGTCACAATAAGTAAACCCCAGCAAAAATGAACCAATCAACAGGCATTGTCTGGAGTGCGGGTAACTGATATCTACACTCCAGTTACCGCACTGTGCATGTATATATATACGATTTAACTCCGACACTTTTTCAACAGAAAGGTCCCAAAACTATGATACAAATGGACTAATATAGTCTACTCAAACCTATTTATTACATATTTTTTAAGTTATTCTGGGACATCAGTTATTTTATGTCCCAGAGTTATTCAAGAGTTTTCAGTATGCATAAACTAACAAATAGTGTCTATCCTATTTCTCTTTCCATTGTTCATTGATCAGTGTAAGAGAATTTTTAAATCCATATAAAGAAAATTGAATAAGTAGCATCAAAGAATATTAACTTTGGTTTAAACAATATTTATTTTCCAAATAGATTTACACACATCAGGGCTTTTTTTCACAAGTTGGGGAAGCAGCCCAGCCCTTAATTTTGGGGAAAAATTACATGGTATATTTGCAAAAGGGGAAGAAAAAACTTGATGTAAATTCAATATTTGGGGAAAACTGCATGATTTTAAAGAATTTTTCTTTGGGGAAGCAGCCCTATACCGGCCCCTGTAATAGAGGGTAAAAAGGCCCTGGACATGTTATACAATTATACACAATCGAGTTATAACAAATAGAAATATAATAAAAACAGTCATTGTGTATGTAAAGCATACAGAATAAGGGATAAAGCTTTGTAGCTTATACTAAGCCTCGCTTCTGTCTGTCATAAGAGTCTGCACTGACGTTGTAACTTTAAATATTAACTTTACGAAATGTTTCCATACACATCAAAGAATCCCATTAGTTAATGCATTACATAATCTTTACATATATATTTATAATTATTTTAGTTCTGTTTAATTCATATGAATAAATATACAATTTTCAATGCGGAGGATTAATCTCATAAAACAGAACTACATTAGCAAGGTACATACATTGATCTGTACCTTAAGGGTGTTTCTATTTTCAATCACATTTTGGGAGATTTCCAACAGACAATATTTTTAGTGTGTAAATCTTGAATTTAATGAAAAGGAGAAATACACCAGCAAAATTTAAATAATTCAACATGTGAAACATATTTCAAGCTTTTTTCCATGCTGATTTTTCATGCTTATTAGTAGTAAACAGATGGGGTACAGAACATTTTCAGCAGGATTTTTTTGTTACTTTATCATAATATAATTTGCTACAGTGTTTTTATACATTTAACCATTTCCTGCAATATCATATATTTTAACAAACTTCACTATCAAACATGGAAACCAAATGCCTTACTACACGATATATACATATAAAAGAATGCTTACATGTCATATGACATCAGACATGACATCAATAGACCAAATGACATCAGGAAAATTACTTCTAAGCTCAATGTAGTTCAACATAATTTCACCAAATTTCTTGTTAATTAGCATGTTAGATTGGAAATAGATACATATTTTTCTTGCATAATTGTATAATTATGCACGGTTTGGCCTTCGTGATTATATTCCTGTGCATTTTAACTCAAACTATGCATTATTCTACAACCAAGCACTCAAAATTGATATTTTTTTCCCTAAAATTGTACGTTACCACAAACCAAAACTGAAAAGGTAATAAATTGTATGGCAATACTAAGGCAACTTGCTATGTTTCCAACAAAACACTTGAAGTGAGCATTTCAATAATTTTTTTCAGTTATGAACTTCAGTTTATTGATCAGCTAACATGCAAACTGCATCATTAAAACACAAACAGCTCTCTGCATGTTTATATAACAGTGGAAACAATCAAGTAGTACAGGTAAATAAAACAAGTTATACCTGTTTTCCAACATTTTTTATTGCAAGTTGTTCTGGAGTCATAGTTTCCTCTTCTTCTAATGCCTGGAAATCAATGAAGTCTTTTAGCAATATGTTATTACACGAACATTTTATGCAATATTCTGTTTGTTTAAACACTTACCATACTCGAAATAACAGTGACAAGCTTTTGCTACAAGTATATGCAGTCTAATTAGGCTCTGTACTTTTGACTAGCTTAAATTTTTATCTTCCTAGCCCCAAAACTGGTAATAGATCATTTTTTAAAAAAATAATAATTGTTTGTTTGTTTGTTTCATTTTACGCCTTTTTCCAACAGCAATTCAGTCATACAGACAGGTAGTTTCCTAACCATCGTTCCTGGAGAGTTACACCAGTACTAGACAACCTTCCTCCATGCTAAACTACCAAAGCATCTCCCGGGGATCAAACCAATGCCAGAGAGGTAACTTGATTAGAAGTCATCGACTCTAACCCATCAACCACGGAGGCGGTTTTTTTCTTAAAATTTACAAAAATATATACCGCAAAATGGAAAAAAAATCATAATCCAAGGGACGTTCTGCATTCTTTATCTAAAATATAATTTATATTTTTTTTTATTTTCATCTTATTTCTACCCTATTGCTGGTAGTTGGTCTTCCTAACCAGAATTCCAGAATAACAAACCAGAAATAACCAATTTCTCCCACTTATCCCACATGATTTCTATGAATAACCTTTGAGAGACAAACGTTCATTTGGATCAATTTTCATAAAATTTCACCTTCCTCGAGGATTTAAACCAGCAGTCCGTTGATCACAGATTACACGCTCTTTCTATTGAGGTAAGCAGACCAACCACTCACTTTGGCAATTTTTGACAAGTTTTATGGCTGTCACAATAAATTAAACTTATAATTATGTTTATAAAACATTACTCACCTTGTGATAATTTTTGGCGAGTTCTAACATTTCCTTAACAACAGTTTCATTTGTTGAACAATGAGTTTTATAATCTTGTAACGTTAAACCATCGGCCCATGATTTCTTATGGAGATTCAACAACATCTTCTGTTCCAGCTCGTTCTTCCTGTAGTTGATGGCGATAGAATAATAATGACGATTAAGTCCATGAATTAAAGCCTGAAAAATAGAAATAGCTTTTATCTACTAGCTACCATCAAAAGCTACAAAGCGCAAAATAGATGTGTGTCACACATTCTTTTGAATAACTTTTCAACACAGAAGAGTTTCCTGTTATAATTTCCCTCAAACATATAAAGCATTGTTTAATGTTCCAATAGTGAACTTTACACTTTATTTGAACATCATATGTAAATCAACACTGCTCATCAAACCTTTTGAGTTTCTTATCAATTATTTTACTTGTATTATACATAATATATTTCCCCTCATATTGAGTTAACATCAAGTTTTTTCTTGCCATTTTGCAAGATGAGGAAAGGGCCCATCTGTCACACAAGAACCCTGTCACAGTTCCCCAGTTACTACATTACCTGTATGGAAGGTTTGTGTAAGTGACCAAGATTTGAGGTGGTTTGTCTGGGCTCCTGTCCTAGAACCATCATGTTGGGATTTATCAGTCTAAATGCATCTATCACTACCTGTAAATATATTTATAACAATTTTATTACATGTTTTGCAGTAGATTACTGAATTATCACGGTTAATTATATTCTGATAATTTCACAGTAATGATTACCAAATATAATTTCACAGTAGCCGAACTATATTTGGCGTAAAAATAAAATATTTATCATTAATGAATGTTTTTTTCAGCGGAAATGTAGTCAATCATAATAAAAAATGTACGTGATAACTGTAGTTCGTAAATATTTACGAACGTTGTGCTGAAAAACATCTAAAATCTAAAAATAATCATGGAATTATATTTTGCTTCAACATTGTGACGTCATTATTTGATGACGCCATGAAGATAAGAGCATGACGTTACACGGCAAAAATCAGTAAAATGGTGTAAAAATCGTTAAAAAATCATGAAATAAACAGAAAATTTGTTTGTTTTACATGTAAGATCAAATAATATTTCACTCGTGAACCCCAGCTATTATATTTTAACTCGTGGCTACGCCACTCGTGGAAAATATTGCATCTGGTGTTCACTCGGTGAAATATTTTTCGATCTTACACTGAAACAAACAAATATCCTCTATATAATACATACTGACAAAGGGAAAGAACTCTAACTAACATGAACTGGTATGAGTAAGGCCCCTTAATCAAAAGTCACTTAAAATACAAGAAAGCATTTTCTATAAATCTAAAAACTTATTTCCAAAAATTAAGAAATAGATTACAATATAAAAACTTATTTTTTATTTTTATTCATTTACATTCTGACTTCAAGAATTTAATCAGGAATTAAAGTATAAAGATAACCTAACTTTAGTCATACATTTGCCTATATGTCTATAACGTTCTGTTTGTGTTGTGTGCCTTTTCAAGTTTCTACATAAAATATGCCGTTTGTTTGGGTTTCTTTACAGGTCATTCATAGATTCTAAAGCATAGCTGGTGCCCCATCTTGCATTCTCTAAGACACAAACTGGCACATGTGTACAGTTACCAACCTTCCATAATCTTTCACAATAATTACCTAACATGAATTATTACAAAAGTTTGTAATAGAATTAGAACCCAAAGTGATTTGAAGTGAGCCATCTTAACCAATTGGCCACTGATGCTCCAAACATAAACTGTGTGCTTTACCAAGTAGCCTTACCTTGCCTTTAACACTCTGTATAGGATCTACTACCACAGCTACCGCTCTCTCTGACAGCGCCTCAAAACTTTGTTGTGTATTTATATCTACTCCAGATAACCAACAGCCAAACCCAGGATGTGAATGATACCAACCTACCACCATCTCTGGTCTGAAATCAATTACAGGAGAAGGTACACCAAATCAGTTGCATTGTGAATATCATGTCACCAAAACTTCAAACGAAAAAACGGACATAATGGGTTTTGATACCAGCATGGACCCAGACCAGCCTGCGCATCCACGCAGTCTGATCAGGCCCCATGCTGTTCGCTTACCAACCCTATTACATGTAGAGAAACTGATAGTGAACAGCATGGATCCTGATCAGACTGCACAGGCTGGTCTGGATCCATGCTGGTCGCAAACGCACTATGTTGGTTTTGTCATGACGGGGCTCATTTTTTTAAAACAGCAATGCTCTGATATCTGTGAATCATTACTTTTTCTTTTAACAGGTTTTCTTAGATAATTATCAAACCTTAGCAGTAGATAATAAAGATGTCCATGTACTTATTACTGATTGATTGTTGAAGTTGTTTAAAGACTTTTCTAGATATACTAGAGGTCTAGGTATATTAGAGGTAAAAGGCGTATGATCATTCTGTATGTTTAACCCTTACCACACTAAATATCTAAAATGGACTTGTCAATCTTTCAATTTTATTTAGACAAAACCATTCATCCTTTTTAGGGAAAATTTCAAAACATATACAAACAAGAACTGTGTCCAAAGGAGACGGATGCCCCGAATGACAACATATATATGGTATATAGTGAAAAAATCAACAAAGGGCCATAATTCTGTTAAATTTGGTCGCAGCAAAAATTCCTTCCTTTACTACCATTGACACATTAAGGTTTTTCATCCCTGAAAGTTTAAGCAAAATCTGCCATCCGGTTTAGGAAGATTTGCGTTCACAAAATTTCTATATGGTATATAGTGAAAAAATCAACAAAGGGCCATAATTCTATTAAATTTGGTCGCAGCAAAAATTCCTTCCTTTACTACCATCTACACATTAAGGTTGTTCATCCCTGGAAGTTTAAGCAAAATCTGCCATCCGGTTTAAGAGGAGTTGCGTTCACAAAATTTCTATATGGTATATAGTGAAAAAATCAACAAAGGGCCATAATTCTGTTAAATTTGGTCGCAGCAAAAATTCCTTCCTTTACTACCATTTACACATTAAGGTTGTTCATCCCTGAAAGTTTAAGCAAAATCTGCCATCCAGTTTAAGAGGAGTTGCGTTCACAAAATTTCTATATGGTATATAGTGAAAAAATCAACAAAGGGCCATAATTCTCTTAAATTTGGTCGCAGCAAAAATTCCTTCCTTTACTACAATCTACACATTAAGGTTGTTCATCCCTTGAAGTTTAAGCAAAATCTGCCTTCTGGTTTAAGAGGAGTTGCGTTCACAAAATTTCTACATAGTATATAGTGAAAAAACCAACAAAGGGCCATAATTCTGTTAAATATGGTCGCAGCAAAAATTCCTTCCTTTAGTACCATCTACATATTAAGGTTGTTCATCCCTGAAAGTTTAAGCAAAATCTGCCATCAGGTTTAAGAGGAGTTGCGTTCACAAGATTTCGGGACGTACGGACAGACGGACGGACAGACGTACGGCGTGACGGACGGACAAGTGCAACGCTATATGCTCCCACTCTGTGGGGGCATAAAAAACCTATATATATAAAATATAAAGTGAACAATGCAGATCATGATCAGATGGCATGTATGTGCACAGGTAGCATGGGTAGAATCAGTTGCCATCAGCAAGCTAGAGTTTAATTATATCTGATTAAATGAAAAGACACAATTTGCTGGATCACAGTTGTTACATGTAACTCGGCAACTGATAAGTGATGGTATTTCAAACCTAATTCCCAGATACAAACTTTTACCATTAACTGTGCACAGTTGTTCACAATAGATTAGTCAACCTGGTATGCTTATTTTAAATATGTAACAGTAAAAGTTTGTTAATACCCTCTGATAAGCTGGGAAAACCCTTAACTTACTTCAGCAGTAATTGAGAAATGAAATAAGACAGATTTACCTGCCAGTCTGTTTGAGCATATCCAACATCTTAGCTTGGAATACAGGGTCAACAGCCTCTACACTCACACCCTATATAAATGCATCATATCATTACATCATATCATTACAACATTTGCAGCATAGTTTTTAACCAAAATTCAATGTTAATTTTTAACGTAATGTGAAACAATTAAACAACAGATGGAGATAGGGAGAAAATCTGAGAATCAATAATCTCCTGCATTCCCACTTACATACAAAGTACTTATTTCTGCTTTAAGAAACTTCCAGGTAAAACAAGAGGTAAACAAAGGAACTCCCTGAAGCACTTACTGTTCCTGACTGAGGCATGGCAAACACATCTATAACTCGGACAGTGTAGTCATCAACAAATTCTCCCAACATCAAACCCATGACTTCCATAGGTACCCCAGCTCGCCCATGCTTCAACATCTGTAATAAAAATAATAACAGATATTACAAACTGAGTTTTGAATTATTTTCAATCATTTTATTTCTTCCTTTTTAACCTATAACCAAATATGTTTTGAACTTTGAACAGTCCATTCCTAATTCAAAGATTTACAAGCTGTCTATAGAATACAGATCAATGCCTCAACATTTCACTGTTTTGTCTGTCTAGGGACGGACAGGATGGACAGACAAACGTAAATCTGTATGAAATTCAAAAAAAGCTCATTTGAAAACACTATAAGTAAATAGTCCATTTCCTGAAGCTAACCCAGCACTTTTATTTGGGGAAACATAATTGTGATCCTGTAGGGCTCAAACTCATATTGCTTAGAATGATGCAAACATCGTTAACACAATAGGCTTTCAGCATATGACATATTCTAGATAATCATGATGAAAATAACATTTTTTTTGGTTGGGTTTAATGTTGTACCAATACAGTATAGGTCATGTGGTGACTTTCCAGCTTTACTGGTGGAGGAAGACCTCAGTGGACCTTCTGTGCATTATTTCAGACACAAACAGTGTTCAAGTAGAACCGCATAGGTAAGCCAGCTTGATAGTTTCCACATCATATGGTTACAATACCTAATAATAATGACTAAAAAATTAGCTAACACAAAACATTTCATGTTAAAACATATAAAATAAACATGAAATATTTTTGCAGAAAACCTCTAACCCAACTCTTCCCATGCCACACTAAATATCTTAAATTTCAGTCTAAATAAAGGTAAAAGCCATTCTGCATTATTAGTGAAAGTTTCAATATAATTAACTGAGTAGCAAACAGTGCAGCTCTGATTAGATGGCATGGATGTGCCGGTTGATCTGGGTCTGTGATGACTGCATCTTTATATTCAGTTTCCACCATTAATTTAATTGATTAATTTAGTTTGATAAACCTACCTTTAAAAGAGCGAGAGAGGAAATATAAACTTGTTCTGCTGTGTCTACTGCTGGTGCATCAGATGGTGGCGCCCCCTGTAAATAAATAATACTTGTGCCTGTAATTTTACTGAGTAGTAGTCTAACATTACATTTGCAATTCATTCAAGATACATCTGATGTTGTTCAATTTTTCATAATATAAACCTGTATAATTCAAGATGCATTATTTACTTCATTTGAGCCGCGTCACGACAAAACCAACATAGTGCGTTGGCGACCAGCATGATTCCAGATCAGCCTGCGCATCCGCGCAGTCTGATCAGAATCCATGCTGTTCATTTACAAACCCTATAACAAGTAGAGAAACTGATAGCGCACAGCATGGATCCTGATCAGACTGCACGGATTCGCAGGCTGGTCTGGATCCATGCTGGTCGCAAACCCATAATGTTGGTTTTGTCTTGACGCGGCTCATTTATCTTTTCATAAAATCAAAATATATCATACAAAGTATTCTGTTCATATTATTTCGAAAGTGAAAGTACATAAAATAAAGAATAACATTTAAAGTAAAATTATCATAAGTTATCATCGGTTGCTATGGAAAAATCGTACTATAAAAAGGTCTATAAGTTATTAACTGCTATTAAAGTGTTAACTTTCTTGGTCTGTACATGTTTTCATGTCTTGCACTGGCTCACATTATGCTTGAATAAACATGACAACAACAAATGACAATTGGAAAAGGAGACTGAAGAAAGGCAAGCACTGATTCTGTAGTGCAAGTATTAGTGGCTACTTAACAGTTTTAACTTTTATTTTATAGACTGTACATTGTACCAGCACAGAAATAAATTATTTGAAAGTTTAGACTACCTAACAACCACACTCACCTGCCCTAGTCCATGCATTCCTCCACCAAGTCTTAACAACCTGTCCATGATGAATTACAGAACTGAAATAGAAAAGATATTCCATCAAAAATCTTTTGAAGAGTTACACTGTATACATATCTTTATTACTGGTTAACTTCAATACAAACAATGATTTCAATTTTTATTTCACAACATACTGGTTTGTCTCAATATTGCTTTAAACTGATTAATTGAAAACAAAAAAATGAAAACAATCTGAACTTTTGGACATCATAAAATTCATTACCAGGGCTCTCACTAGCATTTTTCAAGTAGTAATCTTGCCTCCCAAATTGCAAAAGTAGGGGTCCCATGAAATCAATGTGGAGTCCTAACTATAACAACCTTACTTTACAGCAGCATGTTATATAATCAAGAAATACAAAGATTTGTTTCAACTTCATTTTAAATGAAATTTGTAACACTCCAACAAATATCAACCAGAATATTGTATGTACATATACTGTATACATTTATAAATGCACAGACTGCAAAGAATGGATTAACAGATGTCCTTATGCATTAAAGTCAACTAGAAAATAGCATACATGTACATTTTAAAGTTAAGTCATGAAAAAAAATATCACATACATGTACATTTTAAAGTTAAGTCATGAAAAAAAAATCAAACTGACAAACATAGTCACATTAGAAAACATGGTATGTACATAGATTTACTAATTAAACATGGATGTGTTGACCATTTAAGTAACTGTTTTTCCTACTTCCTACTGTAAAACCATTACAACTAGCTAATAACAACCTAATTTAACTGTCATTTTTAGCACGGAAAATTTATGAAATTAATCAGTATCACTGTTGCTAGTTTGAATGGATTCAAAATCAGTTAAAATCAGAAAACATCTTTCAGTTCTTCAATAAATCAGACTTCCCGAAATACGTCGGTCCGACGGACATGTCAGATAAATTTTGATTAGGTCCGACGATTTTTTATTTTGGATCGGTCCAACTGTCCGGCTTTTATCCAAGTCACAAGTATACAGAATGACGTCGCTAAAGATGCCAAATCTGGGAAAAACGAAAATCTACGTCAGAGGAGTGCGCAGAACAGCAGTAAAAGGATGAAAATAGACCGGAGACAAAATTTAATGAAAAATGGAAGAGGACCATGAATCATTGGTGTATGACAGGGAGAAGATGAAAATGCTCTGTACAGACTGTGCCGATTTTGACGGCGAATAAAATTAATTTTCATGGTTTGTCGGACCGAATGTCTGACACTTTTTTTTAACTTTCAGGAAGTCTGATAAATCATTAGAATATAATTATATTTTGATACATATCTAGTATTTTTCCCCTGTAATTTACAGCCGAATAAAGGCTGTTTCTCCTAGCCCAAAATAGGTTCATTTTCCCCTATAAATGCTAATTTTTCTCACTAAAATGCCATGTGCACATTCTTAACCAGAACCATGACTTAACAGCAGATTAAGAAGACAAAAAGCTGTCCCTATATATAGCCTCTGCTATGTTACATGCATGTAAAATTGAAATGAAAATTTTATAAAAAGTGTGGGTAAATTCCATAATTTGATTTCCCCCTTTTCTGATTTATTGCACTATATTTTCCTTCAGAAAGCCACAGGTTGTTTTGAAAATTGAAAAAAAAATCACTGATATCTCAATCAAAAATTTATTCAATGACAGCTCTTTGAACGCATACAATTTATGTTCAAATAAATTTTTCTATATTTTGAAACTTGGCTTATCAATAGATTATATATAATTTTATCAGCATATGCTTCACTTTACTTCATCATTCATGACATGCTTGATGAATTAATATGAGTGTGTCAGATTCCTGGCACTATTATAATTTGGTGGACTTTCCCTACCGTCTGTCTTCAGCGTTCACGTCATGTCATAGTAGCCCGGGGTTCTATGATATCACGGTACTTAACGTTTATCGGAAAATATTCAAATATAAATATCATACATGAATGAGATTTTTCTTCTATCTAATAAGTGAACCATTTCCAGAACTGTTTGTCAAAAAATTATTTCAAAAGATCCAATTTAAATAATATATTTTAAACTATTTCCAATGTCAGCCATTTTGGGTATTTTCTGAGGAGGTTACTATGGTATCAAGGTAGTTCCAAAAAATGCAAATATGGAAGGATATATGTGTCAAAATCTTCAAGTCATGTTGTGATAAACTTCCAACAGTTAACTTGCTATAAAATTCAAACTGTATGAACAGATGATATGTCAGTATATGTGATTATAACATATATCATTGACAGTGTATAAACATTTAAGGAAAATAGTAGTAAAATATGACGATTTTATAAAATATTTTTCTTGTCACGAATACATTCATTATTTACAAAATTGAATTTATTGGCAGATGAAAATAAATTTAGTGTGCCTGTTTTAAAAATATTAGGTATCCGGACAATTCCCCTCCCGGACGATTCCCCTCCCAGTAAATTTGAATGTTTTTTCACAACCCGGACATTTCCCCTCCCGTTATTTTTTTACGGCGGACAATTCCCCTCCCGTTCTTTTATCAACCCGGACAATTCCCCTCCCGTTCTTTTAACAACCCGGACAATTCCCCTCCCGCTGTTGTCAGAGCGGACAATTTCCCTCCCGTGGCTGTTGAATATATATATTAGGGATGTCATCTGGAGCCGAAACGGCCATCCGGATCAAACATCCGGATGTTCGGATCGTTGTCATATTCTTAGATGTCTGATATGACGTAACCATTTCTTCGCGACCTTTTTCAAATTGTAGTATTTCGTTTTTCTTCCTTTTTAATTGAATGATACATATCAAAAATCTTCCGTTATTGATTTTTATTTCTTCTATATAGAATACGACTAGCTTTTATTAATAAATTTAGTGCGTGTGGTACTTACGATTTCAAATGAAATGGAAACGAAAATCGCCGCCGATTGTCTGAATTCCTCAATTAGCGCTATAGTACGCAATAAAATTCGCTCACATTTGTGAAAACAAAATAATACCCGTAAAAATTAAATATAATGTTTCCATTGTTCAATAACACGCATACAATTTACACACGATGACCTTTCACACGCGTGTAGCCGGCTTTTCAAAAGAATCTGCCAATCTTTGATGTTTACCATCATGTAGCACTGGCTGTTTGATTCAATCATCAAAGAAAGTGCCGAAACTTACATGAATTACACACATTTTAAGTGTTCATAAGTGAAAAAAGAAATGTGAAAAAAAAAATGTTTTTAAAAAAATGCACATGTTTGATTAATACTAAAGGAGAAAGTTATTTTGTCGGATAATTTTCGTATCAATTTCAATAAAAGCTTTGATAATTAACATATAATGCGTAAGTAAATTTCTTTATTTGCTAATTTTTTTTCTGCAGATTTTTCAATGTCTAAAAATAAGGAGTCGACGGGTCGGTAAGCCGAAATATATAAAAATATAACAACCTAATTAAATATTTAAATTTGGACATAAAAAAATGTAACATCGTTGCCGATGACAGTCGCACGGGACTTAGAATCTTACAAAACTTAAATTTGATTAACAACATGTTTCATAATTGACTCGTAATTATTATAGTAATTATTGAATTTTTTGTGGACTGCAGAGGTTATGATGTGTATTGTCAAACTAATCGTTATCCGAACGTTCGGATATCCGGACTCCGAATGACATCCCTAATATATATTATATTATATTGTTTATTTGAAAGGTATAAACATTTTTGCAATCAAGGACACATTTAATTAAGGGCGGCAATGATTAAAGATTTTTTATTGACAGTTTGTTTATCTTAAGCAGCGGCGGCAATGATTAAAGGCGGTATAATGTCACTTTTGTGAAATAATGATTGTTAAAAGTTCCGATCTTTAACAGTTTATTGTTAAGAGTAAAAACTGTCATCTTTGATAAGAATGGTTATAGATTTTTTTATACGCAATGTGAAAAAACGGGAGGGGAATTGTCCGCTCTGCTAAAAAAATGGGAGGGGAATTGTCCGCTCTGCTAAATTAACGGGAGGGGAAAAGTCCGCCCTATTAAAATAACGGGAGGGGAAATGTCCGGGTTGTGAAAATAATATGGAAGGGGAATCGTCCGGGAGGGGGATTGTCCGGGATTCAAAATATTAGCATCATTGTGTGATGCTTTTACTAGTAGGTCACAGAAAATGTAAATACCGGTACCCTGATATCATAGAACCTGTGATATCATAGGAACCTAGTATACATAAATGGGTACGCTGAAGACCTTAAGCTATATAAATGCAAGGGTTCGAATTTAAGCTTGCATACTGGCAAAATGTCAGTTAAAATCAAATACTGCCAGCAAAATTTACTATAACTGGCATTTATTTGTACGTGATTGTTCATTTTAAGCGTTTACATAATTGATATCTTCTGAATTGATGATGATGCTTGGCATCTGCCGGCTGCTGAAACTGATGATGTTTACAGTGCCAAATGCAGTAACTTTATTTTCTTTAAAAACTTAATTTTTTTTCCTGTGAATATATTTACAACAGGCAAAACATTATTGGTTAGGGCATCATGTTGTTTTATCAGGCTCAGGCTATTGGTGTAATTAATTACAAAATATTCTAAAATTAATAAATGCCCCAAGAAATTACATTACATGAACAAGTTTATATTAACTGTATATTGTCACTGGTGGTTCTAGTCTAGATGTTCCTCTGGTATATCGATTCCTGATCCCTAAACAGTTGTTTATCATTTATAAATCAATTTTGTTGAAATGTTTTTGTTTCGTTACAAGAAGAGATCTGTGTTTACTAGTGATTAAGATGTTTCTGACATTTAATAGACATTAAAGCTTACAATCATTTCTCTTACCATATGTTCAAAATACTTGTCAATGTGTATAATAATAATAAAAGATATGCAATCATGGAACTGCGAGTTGACTACCCCATATTGCCAGTTAAACATTTGATTACTTGCAAAAATTTGCAAGTAGAAAATGTTGCTAAATTCTAACCCTGAATGCTCGCCCATATGGTTCATGCAGGAGGCGAGGGTAATTAAAC